GGGTGGTGGGACTTTCAGTATTCCTTCGAGGAACTCTTGAAGAAAAAACTAAATGTAAGATTTTAATGGTGTACTAATTTGCTTAGTTGCTTTTGAAGTTTATGATCTCAACAATGATGGCCGAATAACCAGAGAGGAAATGTTCCAGCTACTGAAGTACTCATTAATAAAAGTAATTTATCCAATTTTTTCCCCAACCCTGAAGTAATGCAAGCCTAAAGCAGCCTGATTTGTCCAGCGTCATAGTGAATGCGGCTATTTATCTTCTGTGGAAAATATCTATACTGCTGACAAAAAAGACGAGAGAAAACTGGCATAGATTTTTGGATATAGATGTGGCTTTAGAATAAAAGGCTATGCGCTTATATTTATCCTTTCAAAGCAGCACCCTTTCATTGTCACGTCCTTTATTCAGATGGTATATTGGTAATGCGGTCAATACATTTTCTGAAAGTTCATTCCAAAAGTGGATTACTGGACGCGATGATCAGTACTCTACAGAGATTACTGTTGTTCGTTGCATTATTATTCTCCTGTTATGTCCTCTGAGGTATTTAGACCTACTGAAAATAAAAAGAGGCTTAATCTTGTCCAATGCCATTTCCTGAAATGGTGTATAACATGATAAGACCTCCTATTTGTCTGCCATATGGTGAAGTGAAGAGAGTCTTCTCCTGAAGTCCTTCCTTGTAGATCACGGTAGCCGTCTTCCCGACCATATCAGTGGCTATCCTGCGAACTCTCTTCAAAACGTCTAAGCCAACCTCTAGACAAGGATTTCACAATTCCTCACTGGTTCCCACCTAAATTCTAACCAAGGATGTACTTCTGCTAGTGAACATATCATCACATATTTTTGTGAACTTCCTATGTAGTGCCCGAAGTATCCTGAACTTTCGAGTTGCAATAAATCTACAATTCTCTGTGGTCATCAAATCATAACTTACAGAAACTCCTAGATGATTGTGGGTCAATAGCGAGAGTAGACAAGACACACCAAAATCCTATCACGAGATATCCAACTACCTATTTTTCAATCTAATCCAGCTTTCCCTAGCCAGACTTGTCGACATATTCAGTACCACGGTGTGTGCAATACATATCCAAACCATCTCAGTTGACTAAGGTTCACAACCTCATCAATCGACTTATCTGTCTTGCCTAGTGCCTTTCACCTGACCTCAACATTTCTCACACGATGATTCTAACAAAGCTACAAAGACATTTGTGATCAAACACCTGTAACCACTTCATATCTTTTATTGCCAATGGCCATGTCTCACAGCGATGTAACAATAAAGATGGGACTGCAGTGAAGTATATTTGTTCTTTTCCTAGAGATATTTAGATATCTCGTAAGTCAGCGTCACAGAGGATACATGTTGGCAAATACCGGAAGAGTCTTCTGTATCGTAGCTGAGATTTAGTCAGCAACTAACCCTAACCCTAGCCGATTCAGCTCCCTACATAAGTGAATTGGTCAAAATATCCAACCACTTACTTCACTCTCAATCATAAGGATGGGAGTATGTGCAACAGACCAGTTCTGGACCATGATCTTACATTTGACAGGTGTGAAATATACGTAAAACATGCTCAAATTTCTACTCAAGTCATTCAGAAGACTCTACATTTTGTCAGTGTCTTCACCTAACAAAACATTATTGTCTGCATACACCGAATGAACCAGACGACTTCCAGGGTGTGAATCAGTCCCTGTGAAATCAAACGTACATAGGGTTATATTGTATTAGTACATCAATGACGAAGTTAAGTAGTAACGGTAACAGTAGGCATCCCTTGTTATCGTCAATTCTGAAGACAACTCTCCATAAGCTCTGACATGGCTGCGTGATTTCAAGTAGAGAGTTTTGATTGTTGTTGTGTGCTCACTCAGTGTTCCTTTCACAGTCAGACACTGATATAACACCTCATGGTTGACAGAGTCAAATTTCGCCTTTACTTCAAGGAATATTGGAAGTGTGTATCACTAGCTGGTATGCATGATAATGTTTTAAAACCTGTTGTCAGTCCTTTCCTATTCACTTTTCCTTTGTTTGCGAGTGTATAGTGTGGCAATTTCAGCCGTGGCACATGTGTTCGAGGTTCTAAGTTGATTCTGTCAATCAGTCAATTAACTGTCCTCTTGGAAAACAGTACACAATGGAGTACCGCAAGTTACGATCATTGGTCCTCTGTTTTTCTCCTCCTATACATTAATGAACTACAGAATATCACAAAATCTTGCAGAATTGTCGATAGTGGTGATGTAAACGTTTTGGAAGAAACAAGATAATGACGACTTTCTTTGTACACTTCACAGAGACTTTAACAGTTTGTTAACATAGTCACATAAATGACTGGTACCTGTGAATGTTGGTAAGTGTGCAAGCTTACACATGGACACGTGGACATACAGACAGTAATATGTAGGATTTTGGTGTGTCTTGTCTACTCTTACTATTGACTCACAATCATCTAGGAGTCTCAGTAAGTTATGATTTGATGACCACAGAGAATTGTAGATTTATTGCAACTCGGAAGTTCAGGATACTTCGGGAACTACATAGGAAGTTCACAAAGATATGTGATGATATGTTCACTAGCAGAAGTACATCCTTGGTTAGAATTTAGGTAGGAAAGAGTGAAGAATTGTGAAATCCTTATCTGAAGGTTGACTCAGACGTTTTGAAGAGATTTCTCAGGACAGTCATTCATTTGATCGGGACAATGTCTAGCCTGATCTACAAAGAACGACTTCATTTCAGCATAGTGCTTTAGTTAGACGTCGGATAACTATAGATCCTAGGATTTAGGATGCAATGCTAGTCAAACTTTGTTGTCTATCGTGGTCCTAAGAAGGTTTCCATCTCTTCTGTTAAGGATGTTTAGAAACTCGACGGGACTATTTTTGATCTATTCACACAACGCATATCTCTTTCATTTCAATTAGCATTTCGTTTCCCTGATCCTTGAAAACGTTGGGTGATAAACCGTCTAGTGCTACTGCCTTTCATCGGTTCATGTTCGTTATTGCCTTTTTGCTTCAAAGATAGTTAGAGGGCCATTATCTACGTTCTATTCAGGTTCATGCTGGTTTTTAGGCAACTGAAGCATTACTGTGGGCCAGTTGAACTTGGCTTCAAAGTTTTATGCCATTCATTCTAGCCGTCTGTCCTAGGAAGTTATCAGTATCCTTCTCTTTTTGGTAGTGGTTTCCTTGGCCATCATCTTTTTCTTATCAGTATCCGTAATAGGCTTAAATAGATACTGAGTGTTACCGAACGGTGATGCTTTCTCCACCTCTGTAGCTTTCACCACCCACCACTGCTCGCAATCTGGGCGAAGACAGTTGGTCAAACTTTGCTTAAGTTGTTTTCGCTCTTCATCTTGAGCACAGCTGGCTAGAATCAGTTTTCCCATACCAAACAGTTCGGATGACATTGTGGAAATGCAACGACCTTTCCTAAGTTTGGGGTGTAGGTTACTAATTGTCTTTACCTCTGTCTCCACACCAGACTTTGTATCATACCAGTTTTCCTCAGGATGACCATTGTTGTTACCTTTAAATAAATGCTTAGCTGACTCCTCTTTAAAGACGTACTTGGCGTCCTCAGCTTCCAGTTGAGCACAGACAGGCTTCACTCCCACCTGTTTCCTGCTACCAGTAAGGCACAGATATATACGAAACCGTAGTAGTATGTGGTTGGAGCCGAAATTAGTATTACAGAAACAGAAGCAAACCTACACTGATCCCCACCCAACAATAGGTTATAGCAATATGAACTATCTGTAAAACAAATAATGTGAGTGAAGAAATATTTCTTTTCAATTAGTTCCTCATCAATGGCTCTACACTTATATATATGTAGCACTTTCAAACGTAAAATTACATACCAATCTAGAGGTTAGAGCTGTTTACTAGCAGGTTATCAATCTCAAAGTACCAAGAAGGTGATTATTGATCAGGTAATTACGACAGTCTTAACTAAAGCAAAGATTAATTATCGTAGAAAGATGCTGTGAACAGGTTCTTACATAATTGATATTTTGTATAGTGATAACTAGAGTGCAAAAATGAACCATGGAGAAGTAAGCTACTGGGGTTTCTGTGAGACTGTCAGTTTTGTACCAATAATGTTGTCCCGAGGAGTAGTTCACTTGATAGACAATCCCGTAAACTGTTATCAAATTGCCTCTATTCCCCTGAAGGCTTGAGGCGAGCAAGTTAAGTTTTCTATGATGCTGTGCCTTTGTCTTCCCTGTCAGTCGGACAACCGGCACTGTCACCCTCTTTGCACCTTCTCAAAAGTGTTTACATTTCTCAATAGTATAGGAGAGACCATCACGTTGAAAACCTCTTAATGCGACCTAACGTAAGTTTCAAATACCGAAAAGCGGTCTATCAGAAGTAAGCTGATGAACATCTCAGGGTAAAACTGTGACTGAATTAAATGTGATTTATGTTAGACATTAAACTTTGTTTTAAACTTTCAACTTATGTCTCTGTTGCTGTGACGACCAGCGCAACATACAATATGCTTGAGATTTCAATCAGGAAGGCAATCAATAAATTAACCAATAAGTTAGCTAACAATGTGAACTGTAAGGTGAAATAAAATTATTGAATTAAGTCACTCGTTCAGAGTGTGAAGCTCTACTTGATATGTTCGTGAAATTCGATGGTAAAAAGCCTTTTGGAAAGTTAGATCGGATGAAATTTCGAGAAATACTTCACCACACATTCCGAATGACAGATGATGTCATGATTGACAGAAGTATGTTCCTTAGATATGCTTATCAGCTCCAGTCTTTCGTGTTTTTGATAGAGATCTCGATGGTGGTGTCAATGCTCAAGAATGGGTGGTGGGACTTTCAGTATTCCTTCGAGGAACTCTTGAAGAAAAAACTAAATGTAAGATTTTAATGGTGTACTAATTTGCTTAGTTGCTTTTGAAGTTTATGATCTCAACAATGATGGCCGAATAACCAGAGAGGAAATGTTCCAGCTACTGAAGTACTCATTAATAAAAGTAATTTATCCAATTTTTTCCCCAACCCTGAAGTAATGCAAGCCTAAAGCAGCCTGATTTGTCCAGCGTCATAGTGAATGCGGCTATTTATCTTCTGTGGAAAATATCTATGCTGCTGACAAAAAAGACGAGAGAAAACTGGCATAGATTTTTGGATATAGATGTGGCTTTAGAATAAAAGGCTATGCGCTTATATTTATCCTTTCAAAGCAGCACCCTTTCATTGTCACGTCCTTTATTCAGATGGTATATTGGTAATGCGGTCAATACATTTTCTGAAAGTTCATTCCAAAAGTGGATTACTGGACGCGATGATCAGTACTCTACAGAGATTACTGTTGTTCGTTGCATTATTATTCTCCTGTTATGTCCTCTGAGGTATTTAGACCTACTGAAAATAAAAAGAGGCTTAATCTTGTCCAATGCCATTTCCTGAAATGGTGTATAACATGATAAGACCTCCTATTTGTCTGCCATATGGTGAAGTGAAGAGAGTCTTCTCCTGAAGTCCTTCCTTGTAGATCACGGTAGCCGTCTTCCCGACCATATCAGTGGCTATCCTGCGAACTCTCTTCAAAACGTCTAAGCCAACCTCTAGACAAGGATTTCACAATTCCTCACTGGTTCCCACCTAAATTCTAACCAAGGATGTACTTCTGCTAGTGAACATATCATCACATATTTTTGTGAACTTCCTATGTAGTGCCCGAAGTATCCTGAACTTTCGAGTTGCAATAAATCTACAATTCTCTGTGGTCATCAAATCATAACTTACAGAAACTCCTAGATGATTGTGGGTCAATAGCGAGAGTAGACAAGACACACCAAAATCCTATCACGAGATATCCAACTACCTATTTTTCAATCTAATCCAGCTTTCCCTAGCCAGACTTGTCGACATATTCAGTACCACGGTGTGTGCAATACATATCCAAACCATCTCAGTTGACTAAGGTTCACAACCTCATCAATCGACTTATCTGTCTTGCCTAGTGCCTTTCACCTGACCTCAACATTTCTCACACGATGATTCTAACAAAGCTACAAAGACATTTGTGATCAAACACCTGTAACCACTTCATATCTTTTATTGCCAATGGCCATGTCTCACAGCGATGTAACAATAAAGATGGGACTGCAGTGAAGTATATTTGTTCTTTTCCTAGAGATATTTAGATATCTCGTAAGTCAGCGTCACAGAGGATACATGTTGGCAAATACCGGAAGAGTCTTCTGTATCGTAGCTGAGATTTAGTCAGCAACTAACCCTAACCCTAGCCGATTCAGCTCCCTACATAAGTGAATTGGTCAAAATATCCAACCACTTACTTCACTCTCAATCATAAGGATGGGAGTATGTGCAACAGACCAGTTCTGGACCATGATCTTACATTTGACAGGTGTGAAATATACGTAAAACATGCTCAAATTTCTACTCAAGTCATTCAGAAGACTCTACATTTTGTCAGTGTCTTCACCTAACAAAACATTATTGTCTGCATACACCGAATGAACCAGACGACTTCCAGGGTGTGAATCAGTCCCTGTGAAATCAAACGTACATAGGGTTATATTGTATTAGTACATCAATGACGAAGTTAAGTAGTAACGGTAACAGTAGGCATCCCTTGTTATCGTCAATTCTGAAGACAACTCTCCATAAGCTCTGACATGGCTGCGTGATTTCAAGTAGAGAGTTTTGATTGTTGTTGTGTGCTCACTCAGTGTTCCTTTCACAGTCAGACACTGATATAACACCTCATGGTTGACAGAGTCAAATTTCGCCTTTACTTCAAGGAATATTGGAAGTGTGTATCACTAGCTGGTATGCATGATAATGTTTTAAAACCTGTTGTCAGTCCTTTCCTATTCACTTTTCCTTTGTTTGCGAGTGTATAGTGTGGCAATTTCAGCCGTGGCACATGTGTTCGAGGTTCTAAGTTGATTCTGTCAATCAGTCAATTAACTGTCCTCTTGGAAAACAGTACACAATGGAGTACCGCAAGTTACGATCATTGGTCCTCTGTTTTTCTCCTCCTATACATTAATGAACTACAGAATATCACAAAATCTTGCAGAATTGTCGATAGTGGTGATGTAAACGTTTTGGAAGAAACAAGATAATGACGACTTTCTTTGTACACTTCACAGAGACTTTAACAGTTTGTTAACATAGTCACATAAATGACTGGTACCTGTGAATGTTGGTAAGTGTGCAAGCTTACACATGGACACGTGGACATACAGACAGTAATATGTAGGATTTTGGTGTGTCTTGTCTACTCTTACTATTGACTCACAATCATCTAGGAGTCTCAGTAAGTTATGATTTGATGACCACAGAGAATTGTAGATTTATTGCAACTCGGAAGTTCAGGATACTTCGGGAACTACATAGGAAGTTCACAAAGATATGTGATGATATGTTCACTAGCAGAAGTACATCCTTGGTTAGAATTTAGGTAGGAAAGAGTGAAGAATTGTGAAATCCTTATCTGAAGGTTGACTCAGACGTTTTGAAGAGATTTCTCAGGACAGTCATTCATTTGATCGGGACAATGTCTAGCCTGATCTACAAAGAACGACTTCATTTCAGCATAGTGCTTTAGTTAGACGTCGGATAACTATAGATCCTAGGATTTAGGATGCAATGCTAGTCAAACTTTGTTGTCTATCGTGGTCCTAAGAAGGTTTCCATCTCTTCTGTTAAGGATGTTTAGAAACTCGACGGGACTATTTTTGATCTATTCACACAACGCATATCTCTTTCATTTCAATTAGCATTTCGTTTCCCTGATCCTTGAAAACGTTGGGTGATAAACCGTCTAGTGCTACTGCCTTTCATCGGTTCATGTTCGTTATTGCCTTTTTGCTTCAAAGATAGTTAGAGGGCCATTATCTACGTTCTATTCAGGTTCATGCTGGTTTTTAGGCAACTGAAGCATTACTGTGGGCCAGTTGAACTTGGCTTCAAAGTTTTATGCCATTCATTCTAGCCGTCTGTCCTAGGAAGTTATCAGTATCCTTCTCTTTTTGGTAGTGGTTTCCTTGGCCATCATCTTTTTCTTATCAGTATCCGTAATAGGCTTAAATAGATACTGAGTGTTACCGAACGGTGATGCTTTCTCCACCTCTGTAGCTTTCACCACCCACCACTGCTCGCAATCTGGGCGAAGACAGTTGGTCAAACTTTGCTTAAGTTGTTTTCGCTCTTCATCTTGAGCACAGCTGGCTAGAATCAGTTTTCCCATACCAAACAGTTCGGATGACATTGTGGAAATGCAACGACCTTTCCTAAGTTTGGGGTGTAGGTTACTAATTGTCTTTACCTCTGTCTCTACACCAGACTTTGTATCATACCAGTTTTCCTCAGGATGACCATTGTTGTTACCTTTAAATAAATGCTTAGCTGACTCCTCTTTAAAGACGTGCTTGGCGTCCTCATCTTCCAGTTGAGCACAGATAGGCTTCACTCCAACCTATTTCCTGCTACCAGTAAGGCACAGGTATATACGAAACCGTAGTAGTATGTGGTTGGAGCCGAAATTAGTATTACAGAAACAGAAGCAAACCTACACTGATCCCCACCCAACAATAGGTTATAGCAATATGAACTATCTGTAAAACAAATAATGTGAGTGAAGAAATATTTCTTTTCAATTAGTTCCTCATCAATGGCTCTACACTTATATATATGTAGCACTTTCAAACGTAAAATTACATACCAATCTAGAGGTTAGAGCTGTTTACTAGCAGGTTATCAATCTCAAAGTACCAAGAAGGTGATTATTGATCAGGTAATTACGACAGTCTTAACTAAAGCAAAGATTAATTATCGTAGAAAGATGCTGTGAACAGGTTCTGTTGTATAATGATAACTAGAGAGCAAAAATGAGCTGTCACGTAAAATGGTAAATTGTTGACGGTAATTAGAGACAGTAGGAGGAGAGAAAGATGGTTAAGTCTGTAATAATAACAATAATGGAGCTACTATAATATTAGTTATAGTGAATTGTGTGGTGGATGAAATGAAGAGTTTTGTTGTAATAAATGAGCTATACAGATGTCCAAGGCAAAGAAAGAGGCTGTACGAATCTCTTCTGAACACACAGACTTGGCTTGTGTAGGTGGATTCCTATGGCTTCTGCTGTATGTAAAAGACGAACTCGTAGAGGATGGGTGAGGTGAGAAGGAATGTGATAAATAACTTTAAAGGCATTATGAATGTTAACTGGGTGGCCGGTGTCTATCAGATGAGAGAGTATTGAGCTTCGTGTCTAGACTCATCTGTTCAGATGATACTTTCGACGAAGAGCTTCAAATTATCCACGATCTACTCAGTAGTAATGGATATCCAGAAACGTTCTTGGCTAAAAATATGAACACATCCAATATGAAAACCAGAATGCCTACAGTCTCCAAGAAACCATTGTTCCTAAGACTACAATTTCGAGGTGACATCATCAGCGAAATTGTGACACAACGCTTAAGAAATGCCATAAGAAGATCATTTAATGCCGCCAAGTTATGTTGTGTTTTCTACAACCGGTTGATGATGACCACACGAACTAAAGACAGACTCCCTGACTTCTCCTCTTCTATGTGCATTTACCAGTTCAACTGCTCCTGTGGAGCTAGTTACATTGGACGTACAGTTAGGCAAGTCCGTCGTCGAATCGCCAAGCATCATTCTTCATGGCTAAGTAAAGGGGAAACCACGTTGATACGAAGCTCAATACTCTCTCATCTGATTGACACCGGCCACCGAGTTAACATTCATAATGCCTTTAAAGTTATTTATCACATTCCCTCTCACCTCACCCATCCTCTACGAGTTCGTCTTTTACATACAGCAGAAGCCATAGGAATCCACCTACACAAGCCAAGTCTATGTGTTCAGAAGAGATTCGTACAGCCTCTTTCTTTGCCTTGGCCATCTGTATAGCTCATTTATTACAACAAAACTCTTCATTTCATTCATCACACAATTCACTATAACT